ATCAAATCGCCTTTGGGTTACCTGTGGCATAAGAACCCTCATCTTCTCGGTAGGTTTCTGTGAATGCCTGGCTGTGGCACTCTACGAACTGGAGGCCGTGGTAGAACCTCCGCACACCGCACTCGTCCTCAGAAACTCGGCCATTTTCGTTTTACTCTTTGCTTTTAGCTCAAAGATGCGTTGCGTTTTGTTTTTTTAAACAACGTTTTACCTTTTTGTGGAAATGTTAGACAAATATAACCGGGCAACTGCAACTGCGCCGTTTAGATGAATCAGTCAACGTTCAATCATCTCACCTGCCATGTAAGGCCCATTCCGGCAGAAGCAGCCACTGCATATCTTCGCCGAGGCCAGAGTTGGCGTTCTATATCGTTGTTTGGTACTGACCGCATGGAAGGCACTGCAGTTGCAGAGATTCTTCACGAGTACCGAACGCCGTTTCGTCGATGGCACCCTTCATCTTTGCCTATAGCGAAAGCTATAGGCGCAAGGGCACACCTTTGAGAGGTACTGAGCTTGTTTGGTAGCACGTGCAGCAAAAGCAGCAACCGAAGCTACGAGCTCGGACTCGCAGTCCTCACTTCGGTCAACGGTAACCATGGGATTTTGAGCCCGATCCGCAAACTAAACGCGGAACTGCGGATTTCTTAGTAATGACGTCAAGGTCATGTGAAACGCACATGTCTATGATCCGCGGACCTGTTTTTTTTTTCTTTTTTTAATTTGTCCGCTGTCTGAATACACCTTTCAGGGACACATCATTTAAACCAAAAAGGGTGCGAAAATGTTTACTCTGTAGAGTACCAAGCGAGATCTCGTCCATAGTGGAGTCAGTCTCACCTCTAGTGCGAGATTTTTTTTTATACCCTCGACAACAATCAAAGTAAGAGTGACGGCACCGAGCGAAGACTGGTACAAGTGCGCATGTTTATTCTGCCACCGACTAATACGATCAAATGTATCGCCTTCATTATTCATTACTTTATAATTACCACAAAATAAAGTTTCGATGTGGGGGCTCTGCTAAAGCTTTCTAGTAACAATTTTAGCCAAGATTTACCACCATGCCGTTATTGATGCCGCCGTGACGATCTACCCGGGAACACACCACGAAGAAACCATTTCCACAGCCGTCCATCTTGTACACCCATTTTTCTTCCAAGCAGCGCCGTATGTATTAACGATTAGAGGAAACATTTCCTTTTTGGGTACCCGGCCCGGTTTCAGCACGGTGGTAACAGTAACAGAACAGTGGTAACGCCACGCTAAAATTCGCGTTGTCTAGTGCCCAACCACCAACATAATCATTGATAAAACAAGATTGTGCTTGATATTGGCGGCACCTGCTGGCAAAGGAAATCCCAATGGCTGTCAGCTGCTTGTTCTCCGCTTTCCGCTCGGCGCAAAACGAAGAATTGAGAACTATTTTGTTCTTAGCCCGAGACTGAGGCAGGAAAAGAGGAAAGTTTCGAAGTAGAAGAAAAATGAACAGTCGAGGACACGTCTCTAACACAGCTAAAGACAAGTTTATTTGGTCACCTTCTTATATACACTCCACAAACTTCACCACAGCACCTTCCCGATCTCGAAAGCCAAAAGATAACAAAGGTCTCACATCTTTCCACCACAATTGTCAAACGACCTTGACGTTTTCCACAAAGCAATGAACAATAGCTCCCCTCATCCGGAAGTGTCTTCCGGATGAGGGGAGCTATTGTTCATTGCTTTGTGGAAAACGTCAAGGTCGTTTGACAATTGTGGTGGAAAGATGTGAGACCTTTGTTATCTTTTGGCTTTCGAGATCGGGAAGGTGCTGTGGTGAAGTTTGTGGAGTGTATATAAGAAGGTGACCAAATAAACTTGTCTTTAGCTGTGTTAGAGACGTGTCCTCGACTGTTCATTTTTCTTCTACTTCGAAACTTTCCTCTTTTCCTGCCTCAGTCTCGGGCTAAGAACAAAATGGTTAACATCCACCAGCTCGCCTGCGCAATCACTACATTATAATTGAGAACTGTCGTATTGATTGAATTCTCTCTTGACTCAACAATGAGTCCTGCGTCATACGCAGAAAGAAAATGCGAAGCTCTCATTTCCGCATTTGATTATATTTTATATTTTCTTTCTCCGTATAATGAAGTCCTTTACGTCCTTCCTTTAGGATATTTGTCGTCATAAAATCTACCTGTACAAACAAATGGACGTTGAAATATATTCAGTAGTGTCCTTTTTTACGCATCTCATTCGCACGGTGACAATAAAATTAAAGATTTTCCTAAAAACTTGATTTGCTCGAAACTTTATCTATGTTCGAAGTATTAATCAAAGAAGCTTATTTCGGCATAAAATACTGAAACAAAAGTTATACCGGTAATTGTTCTCGTAAAAGAACAGGAACAATAGTGTGTAATTTGCAAATCCGTGACTACAGGTTCTCAAATTGTTTTGCGAAACAATAAATTAACATTTTTTTTAAATATATACATTTATTTGCTGCCGCTCGGCATCGTTTGTTCTCAATCCACGCAAAAATGCCAGGATTTGGCCTGATATTTGTTCAGCAAACAGTGACCGGTAGATAATTAAGTTTCTGTTACCCCGGGCAGTGAAGCCTCCATTTGCTTGGGGCTAAGGACGAAGATATCCAGAACATGGTCAAAATATCGCGCGTTGAATTGCCTCCATAGATCTACAGTGTCCGAGACATTTAATACCGGCCCTAGAACTATACTTCTAGTATTCCTCGGGAAAATGTTTAATTTGACTAAAAAAAAAAGTGAAAATATGCGTGTTCCTCTTATTTTGTCCCATGCTTCAAGGCGAGTGCGAGTGAATTGCTGAATGAAGCAACCTTTATTCGTTGCTCTCGAGCCTTTTTCTTGGTGAGTCGCTGAAGCACCTTTGTGATTGAACTCTTCCCATCAATGTACGTGTCTTTGCTTAGAGCTTTGCGCCAAGCGATTTTCTACGATGCGCACCAGAACTAAACCGTTTGTCTTTGCCTCTGAAAACAGAGAAGTAACGCTAAACTCCCTCTTCCAGCCTCTCTACTCCTGGTTGCATGACGCCATCTTTGAGCGAAGGCACCGCGAGGAGGAATATTTTAAAGAATAATTCGCGTTACTGTTGTATGTGGGGTGCCCAAAGTTAATCTTAGGATGTAAAACGAGCCGGAAAAATGGGCGCTTAAACAAAGGGAAGTAAAATGTTTGCGTAATTCGCTTTGAGCTGGTTGTTTTTACCTTGTGAAATTTCAAGGCGTAGTTGTCTGCCTGTAAAACATGACAAGCAAACTTTACGAAGTAAACGGTGGAAGTGTTCGCAGACGACCGATTTGGCGATAAATGGAACTTGTGGCGTCATCACCTGAAAAGAGCAGCGAGCAGACGATGAACTCTGTCGTCTGCTAGCTGCGCCTATCGGGAAATAATGTTGCGTATATGTTTCTACAGCCTGGAACTTAGTCTGTCTCAAAGGGCGACTTGTCTCCCAGCTGTAGCTGAGGAATTTAGCCAGTGCAGTACAACCACCAACCTGGGGTCTTTAGCGTGCGCCACGCAGTCGTGATACACGACCGAACGTCGGTACGATGCTCATCCAGATCGAAACGGGGGGGGGGGGGGGGGGGGGGGGGGGGTTAGGTGGCCGTGTAGGCTACCGCACACCAGCTCGGAGCACGTGGAGCGAAAGATCGCGCTGCAAAACACAGGATGCTGGGTTCAATTTCCATCCCTGCCCGTTTCGATCTGGATGAGCATCGTACCGGCGTGCGTTCGTGTATCGAACGCGTGATGCACGCGTTCGATACTGCGTGATGCACGTCAAAGACCCGAGGCTAGCGGTTGTACTGCATTGGCTAAATTTTTCATCTACAGCTGGAAGACTCGTCGCCTGTTGAGGCAGACCAAGTTCTAGGCTGTATAAGCATACAGAGAACCCAATTTCTTCCCAGATCAAAACGGGCAGGGGTGGGGATGGAATCCGGAGTACTGGGTTCTTCTGCGCAAGCTTTCGCTCCACGTGCTTCCAGCTGGTGTGCGCCAGAGCCGTATCGTGTGCCCACTAGGCCAACAATCCCCCGCGCCTATCGGGGTGCGACGCACAAGTTACATTAATCGCCAACTCGGTCAGGTGCAGACACGTCTGCCGTTCACTTTAGCAAGTTTGTTTGTCTAATCCTTTTTCGGGAAGAGAACTGCGGTTTGAAATTTTACATAAGGTAAATCCTACAACCTCAATGCACATTTGGCTGGAGTTGGAGGTTTTTATGTGGAGGCACGCTTTTTGCTGCTTATTTTACAGCTTAAGATCAACTGTGACCACCGTATATATGAAGGGTACTTACCAAAATCAAGCATAAATACACAATCCGCACATGTTGAGTACAATTCAGTTCCCAGCTCAAATCTAGCGCAAGACTGACGTTTCACTACTGCTTTCGTTTTCACCAACGAATGTGTTCTAACTTATAAGGCTGACTTCCACTAAATGAGCTTAACGTTAAAATATAAATAGGGCCTCGGCAAACCGTCAGTCGACCGCTAAATGTGGCGGGCGCCAGCCAGGTTTGTCTGATTCCCAAGCTCGAAAAAATCGGCAAATAAGGCCTCATGAATAATGTAGCTCACGCGCACGCGGCACATATACATGTCTCCTGACCTTATCCCAGTACGATTAAGACACATCTTTTTTTCAAACATACTTTTGCAAACCAGGAGTTTTATAGCTGACTAAACCACGTGTCGTGAATAATGCATATTGAACAGTCACCGACGGCAAAACGGCATGCAGGGAAGTCTCAGTTGGTCTGCCCCCAGCACGGGCTTCGTTCCTCCGATAACGCTTTAGCGTATGGATGTCTCGTGACCTTCGAAGTGCACGCGCAATGAAAGCACGGTGGAGGGTAACGAGCGCGAGGTCGCACATACGAGAGAGATGCCCTGCCGTCCAGATCTTCTTTGTGATTACGATGTCGAGAGAATTAGCCCGAAACGTCACACTACCTGACGTTGTTGTGACGCTGGACGTAGAGCTCGTGGAAACGCTGACGGCTCCGTTTGGTCGATGACTGACAGGCGTCCGCCATCTTGAGCATGATGCTGCGCTTGACTTCTGCAGCGATGTATGCCGGGATTACGCTCAGAAGCAGCTGTTCCTGCGGGGAACGGTAGGACGTGAAAACATTTAAAGGTCGAGTCCACCCTGTTGAGGAGAACTACAGCGATTAATTCCGCTACGCTCAAAGTAACGACCCTAGAGCCAACTTGGGACCTAACATCGTTGTGCCAGTTACCTTAAACGTTATTTGAAATAACAGAAAATAATATATTTCGACCTTCAGAAGCGTGTAAGCAGTCAACTAAAGGCGTAAAACGGTGCCGCCCGGAGCTTCCTAACATGAATGTAAAACACAGGAAGACGCATTTTTGAACCGTAACGATCACCACAATAGAAAATTTTAAAAACCCCATCATGCAACGTGTGCGGTCGCCATTTCTTGGGAAGGGCATGGTTGTATCGGGGTACTTTCCGACCTCTGACGCAGTATACTCGTTTTCAATACGAGCTGATTCGAGTCACGCCGAGCATTGACGCAGCCCATGTGTCTAATACGTGATCAGAGCACGTGCACGAACAGTGGGGCAGGCCGGATAATAGACTGCTTTTAAAAATCCGTACCAGCAACACTGCGCAGATTTCATCATTAACTCGGTGGCGTACTTGTAAACGGTGAACAATACGCGGTATGGCAACGGCGCTCGCGCCGGATTGGCTGTTCCTCGAAGAGGATGCTGCGTTGTGCGATGGCTGCACTGGCCGGCAGTAGGCGTTGCGTGTATATCAATGAAGTATGAGGTAAGGCTCTTGTGTAGCTCGTATTTAACAAAATTAAAATTCCTGCTGTGTGTGAACTGACCTATTGCAATTCCCATAGCAATCAAAAAGAAAACCCCATTACGATATCACCTGTTCAGAAGCTTTAAAGGGATACTTCAACGAAATTTGAAATATACCCGTCGTGTTTACAAATACGCTGAATATGATCCACAATATCCGTAAATGACAATCGCACGTTTTTATTTTGCGCCTGATGGCTGCATTATTCGTTATAAAGGGCCCCCTCTGGCAAACGCTCGGAGAGCAACCAGCGGGAGAGCACGTCACATCCACCGCAATCGTGACGTAGTTTGCCTCGGGACCACACGTCCGGCCGCAGCGGGCGCCCTGCGAGCTATCCCAGCCAATCCTGCTCTGTGGACGTATGTCCTAATACCCCCCCCCCCCCCCCCCCCCTCGAGGTCACGTGAGATTCACATGGCCGGGGATAGACACCAATGGCTCGTAGCATGCGCTGAAAGCCGCAGAAGCACACCAGTGATGGGGCCACCGCAAGTAACCCCAAAGCTGTTTTTGTACGAATTTTGAAGGACGGGTTAATCTTGCAGAGGAACAATAGCGGCTTCTGGGACAAACAAAAGAGATCGTCGTAGGGAGGGGAGTGGCACAGCGACGCTTAGTTCTCCTTCAGCTCTACTCTCGTCGTGGCCGGAGGCGAGACAGTTACTGTCACTCCCTTTCAATGTTCTTAGACGGGCAATACAAACGAGGCGTTAACGACGTCCACCAGGTGCTCTTTGGTAATCGTTTAATTCGTTTTAAAATTCCTTTTCGTGTTTTTTTTTTTTTTTTTTTAACAAGAAACTGATGTGTTTGATGTGATAATGCTCCGTTGAACACGAATAGACCAAGAAATAAGCGCCCAAATTTCGTTTTAATATACCTTTAAACTATTTATAAAACAACAATAAACTAGCAACTGATAACATTGCTCTAACCTATTTTGTTTAACGGCAATATAACTGTCTTTTTAGACCTTACGTATTCCGATCTGTTAAAATTTGAAACCTTAAAGCGGTAGTGCAGCGATTTCCGGACTTCGGTCAAAAATTTGTAAAAGTTGCCCTCTAACACTTCTAAAGTAAAGAACATGAAACCGAGTTCGCCTGTGTGTGATAATTGTTGTCTAAGAAAAAATATAAATATTGTCATTTCTGGCACCCCTCGAGGCACTTCCAGTTTTTAGGGTCACACCTGGTCGCACACCTAGTGACGTCATTCGGAGTGCCATGTAGGTTCCCGTGTGCCATCTCGGAAGACGCTTCCTCTCCCTCTCTCTGCTGAGATTAGCGGGCGTTGTGCTGCAGCTTAGAGCCGAGCGAGGTCACGTAAGCTTCTCGCCGTAGTTCCTTCGGCGGCTCCTCGCAGCTGCAGGTGGCGGAAAAAGCTCGACATTTGTTTTGCGATTATGCAGCGGAATCACGGTTTTTTTTTTTTTTTTTTTTAATGAAGGAGATGTTTTCTCTATCCTCCGGGACACGCTAAACAACGTAAAAAGGACGAGATGGAAATTTTATTAATCTTAAAGGTGTTGCACCCCCCCGCCTTTTTTTAAAATCAGAAATCAGATCACGAAATCACTACGCATACAAACACTAGCTGAGATAGCCCAGGCTCGCGGATTTTAAATCTAAGTATAAGTATGAGTTTTTTCTTTTGTTTTTTTTTTCATATAAGATAGCAATACATTATTCCTAGTTACAGAAGATAAATAAAATTTATACGTAATAAACTATAATAACTATAGACTAGAAATAGTTCGATACACCTGGAATTCATACATATTTCGGTGGGCATCGCGGTGCTCGGCCCTCCTAATTTAAAAAAAAAACTAGAAAATTTACGTAAATACATAGTTCACATAGTATATTAGACACGCTAAAATATAATATACCTACAATGATTAGTTATTTCGAACTCCATATTATTTTCTCCTAAGCAAGACACTTTCAAAAAAAAAAAAAAAACATGGATCACCCTCGTAGTCATCTTCCAAGATTACCAAAGGGCACAGGCCATGACAAGGATAGAAAATCAACATTTAAACTTCAAAACAGCGACAATATAAATAGTTTATCATACATGCTCGGATGTGCTTTTTGGTCCGTTCCTGATCCCGTGGTTTCGATGCCCCAAGTTTTTTTTTTTGAATTCGCTTTTATAACACATTTATTTTTTGGTCAAAGGACCCTGCTTATTTAGTTTTTATTGGTTTAAACCTGTTAAGCCGTTTAAACGGTGAAACTGAGACACTTTTTTTTTTATATGCTCTCAATAAAGAATTGCAATTGTCGATGTGGGGGACGTTGCCGTTGCTTCACTTGACATTTAGCGGAAGAAGACTGAGCTGTGCTGCGGCCTACCGGTGCTGCATACGTTTCGGAAGGCATCACTGAACGCTAGGCACGGCTACGTGCGTCCACAATTTCGTACTCATCGGCGTTATATTCTTGTTTTTGATGGATTTTCTGACGCTTTTGGCGTTATACATATCGAAAAACCTCAATCCTCTTATTCACCACCGTCTCAATCCCGGCACAACATGTGTCTAGAGCTAATGGAAGATTGATATAAAAGCATAAGCTCTAATTAAATTGTTAGGTTTAATTGCCGTGTCTGTTTAATCTCCTATAACCCCGTTGGCAGTAGTTCCGGCTAAAATATGTTTATATAATATATTCACATACATTTTTTAATCGAGGTTTTATTATGTCTATTACAATTTTTATAGCTTTGCGATTCTAACAGAGTCAACATCCGACTGTGGCAACGAAGCTTCGTGCTTTTGCCAGGGCAGATAGCTGTTAAATTTTTCTCAAGAAGCACAAAATGCAGTGCGTCAGCTATTCTTGAGTGCCTCGATTGGAAGGGTATTCAGCGCAGTGGACGACATCTTCCATTAGAAACGAGGAATTACGTCTGACGAGACATTCGAGAGCCAGCTGTTGCTCAAGGACAGAAAAGTGATTGGTGGCAACTATGAATACTTCCATAACACTCTTTTGTTTTTTGTCTTGCCCTAGGACAGTAAGGAGGAAAGCAACACCGTGAAAGTAACGAATTACTTTTTGTGGTACCAGTCACTTTTGTGGAAAGGTAATTATAACTGTAATTAGTTACAATTACCCTGGTGTAATTGTAAATGTAATTACTTACTATTTTTTAGTAACGTCTACAAGTCGGACCGCGATAACTAACGATTCCCTGGCTCTGGTCTGCGGACAACGACCATCCTGCCTTCTGTCAACCAAGTATCGGTCGTTGTCGCTCCGTTCATGCCAGCGAATAATCAAAACATTTCAGAAAATACCGCTCTGCGGGACTTAAAAAGCTTGCACCTTTGCATTTAATTGCATTATAATTAAAAAGCAGTCCGTACAAAAAGGTCGGTCGTTTCATTTGGGTCTCCGGCACGCAAATTAGGATTAGTGCAACTCCACATTCGTGCAGTAAGATATACGGTGAGTTGGCATTGTTAAATTTGGCAACCCGCATTTTATGGATAACATAGAACAAGCTTTCATGTGGAAGCCGGTCTGAATAGACCCATTTCGAAACTTTGTCGAGCAACACTGGGGTTCGCCATTTTCTTGGGAATACTGCGCGGAATTAGATCCGAGTACCAGCAGAACAATGACGCAGCCCTCGCGTCCAATGCAGGCCAGTGTATGCGTGCCCAAACAATGGTGGACTCAAATAATTGACGCAGGAGTTACTAAATGGCGCGCACTTTCGAAAAAAGGGTCTCAATTATGGTTGGACCGCAAGGCCCGGAGCTATTTCAAGCCCTCGTGCCGGCGACCGGACCTGCAATAAAAACTGCAAGAATGAAACTCCCCCGTCACATCAAAGCACAACTCTAAAACCTCGGACGAGTAAACGCTAAGGCAAAAAAGTGTTCGTCGACGTCTCGCGATAAGTCTAAGCGCAGGGAGCTTGTATGTGGACATTGACAGAGACAATAAAAGCATCGCGAGTGGCCGCTTACGATTACAGCATATCTTAGCCGCATCTCAGCGAACTTTATGCAACAAGTCAATCTACCCAAGGTTTTTTTATTCTTTTAACGGAGAAGGTATTTTGTGGGTCGTATTCTATACCAACATCTTCATGAACAATCGACTCGAAAGAGCGTCATACTTGGAGCGTTACACAATCCAGTTTTCCCACTAAATTTACCGGGAAAATTGACCTCGTGACTTGACGTCACGTGGCCTTAACACCAATCCAGTTTCCCCGCTAAATTTAGCGAGGGAA